GGTGAAGCACTATAGAGTAGGGAAAAGTATCCCGACTAGGTAGAAATAGACAGCGATAAGGAACGATACCTAAAGTGTTAATAGAAGAAGAAGGTAAGGATAAATAACTATCTCGCACTAGAAGCTTACGACAACCACGACGTATCTTTTTTAGACCTAGGCTCCGGCAGGAAGACGCCTTCGTAGAATTAAATGCCACCTATAGTATGGCATTAATCAAGCTACTAGTATAGCTTAAAGGAATACGGGCGAAAGCTCTTATAGACTTAGGGGTAGGGAAAAACTTCATATCACATAAGGTAGTAAGGAAAGCCGGACTTACTATACTAGATAAGAAGGAACCCTACACAATCCATGTCACATCGCCATTATAATTGGCTTATTTCATCGCTTGCACGGGTCCATGGGTTACCCCACGTCTGGCGCTTGGGAACACCCATCAGTCACATACTTAGATGTTCTATTATTAGATACTGGGGTTCGATGTTAACGGCAGTTACTGCTGGCGCATGGAGGCTCGTTTTAGATGACAGCCATAAAGTCGGGCACCAGAACGTGTAAAACAGACCGTGAACTCGACGACAAGAGAAAGAACATAGGGTCCAAGAACAAAAGCCAGAGGGGAAGGTTCTGCAACGGGATTCGTAAAACGAGGTCCAGGCTATCAATATCATACTCCGGTAATTTCAAGCGAGACGACTATCTTCTGCTTCCTTAAGAACACGGATCACTTCCGCCACACCACCATTCTACTCCGCCCAAAAACGTGGCGTTCGCCCTTTGCTATCCAACTTCAGGGGGTCGGCGCCCATCTTCAACAAGTACTCAACAATGTCTACCTTCCCGTCCTCTGCAGCTCAATGGAGCGGTATCCCAAGCCCAAATGGCTTACGCTGATAGTATGACTTCGGATCGTTTGCGTATTTGATCTCGTCAATTGGTGCACCTTTCTCTATAATCTGGCGGACTACATCTAGACCGTTTGGTTTGTTTCTTATAACAGCCCATTGGAGAAGTTCTCCGTAGTGTGGATCCGCTCCTCGCTGAAAAAGTAAGTCGATGATTTCGATAGAAGCTATATACATGGCCAATAATGCAGGTGTAAAGTCCCAATCGCAGCAGCTGTTCGGATCGGCACCGTAGTCAAGCAACCATGTGACCATCTCCTTATCAGAGGTACAGATAGGGATACTAAAACATGTGAGTAAAGGTCAAGTCTTATGAGGATTGGAAGTGATACCTCAACACAGGAGGCTCGTTTGGCCTGAGCGGCTGGTTGATGTCCAATCCATTGCGAAGGAACAATTCCAGTACCTCGAATGCTCGCGCACGCACAGCCGGCTCGACTGGAAGATAACCGTCTGTAACGTCTTCATCAAGCAGAAACTGCACCATTTCGACATTGTTCCGCTGAATTGCTTCGAGAAGCGAATCATACAGCCACCCTGGATGCGGTTTCTCCCCCACATATGCCACCTCGGGGTTGTGGAAAAGCTGCCGGACCTGTTCTTTGACACCATCAAAATTTCCATCACGAGCGGCGCGATAACATAGATCAACTTGTTCAGGCCTTGTATAGCGGGGGCGAAGATCGTCTCCCGGGGGCAGAGGTGGGGGCGGCGGGGTCTGGTGTGAGTTCATATTAGCAAATGTCAGAAAATTGAATCTATGGCCCGAAGAAAGGTTAGAGCTGCTCTAGTTATATGTGAGAGAAAAGTGGGGTTGACGTTGCACTAGCGCTAATTAATCTAAGTCGCTTACGAGGCGCTCCTAACGCTAATTCCGTGCAGCTCCCAAGCGAGCGCAGGACGGGCTGCACAGGGACGTATGCACGTCACACTTTTACCCTTGGGCATGGCCCGCGCCGCTTTGAAAGCAGGACGAGTTGGAGTGATAAGAGGTTTGTGCTCATGGATAAGCTCATACAATTGATGAATGTGGACGGAGTTGAAGTTAAGGCATCTTTTGTCTTCTATCCTAAGATATGGGAGGAGAAATAGGCAGACTTGAGGCTGTTGGTTACTATTGACGAGCCCACTCAACCACTAGTCCGTTCCATCTGTAATAGCACTTGTGTTCGGTACTCCAGGTCCAATTGGATGAGGTTTGCTGGGTTTGCTAACTTTGTTGCTACGAATGTAGTACTGTAGTTGTAGCAGGGGTTACCGTGTAAGACTGCGATGCTGTAGAAGTAGGAGCCTTCTATATCTCTTAGACCATTGTGCCCTCTATATACACTTGGACTGTACTGCCTTTAGCATCCATAAAAACTGAACCACGGTCGAGATGGTCTGTCAAAGTTGGGACTAGATATGTTTTGGAAATATCCACTTTCAAGCCCACGTTGCGTAGCTTCGTTTCCATAATTCTTTGCTGGTTGGGAAGGGCAACACTATCGCGATATACCGCGCAGACAACCCAAGAATGAGGACTTTTAGGTCTTACATACATAACATTGTCTAAACATCAAAACATAATACCATCACTTTGAATACGAAAGAGAAATCTTTCTTTCAGAATATCAAATTCTTTAATTCAGGCCCCATTTATGGGAACGCCCTAACATATTGTTAGATTATTACGGGTGTAGCACGGATACATCATGCGCGCTAGACTGCTGCTGCCTATTATTATAATCCTAGGAAGTCACGCGCTGATATCCCCCACTACGCGGAAGTCGCACGCGGATATCCCCCACTATTAGGACATCTCGCGCTGTTGGGACATCCCCTGCCATCGGGAAATCCCCCCGCTGTCGGGACATCCCCCACTTTCGGGAAATCCCCCCACTGTCGGGAAAGCCCCCGCTATCGGGAAGTCCTGGCACTACTGAGATGGTATGGAACATTGATGAAGGATCAGATAACGGTAAAGGATGGGACGACTGGTATATAATCCTCGTAGTCCTTTAAACGTTTCCTATTCTTCGTAGTCAACTTAAGTTAATATCCGAATTTTTCCAGCTCATCGCAGTTCACCGAATATACGTGTGAATCTGATAACTGTAAGGTACTTGGTACTGCCACGTCTCGCAATCCTAGCTGGAATGAAGCTACAGTAAAGCTAAACCAGCTTCTAGTAAGAAGGATTAGCGATGGATGCCCTCTAAGATCAAGAAATCCCATTACCCAAATCGACCTAGAGCATCTAGGCGCTTGGCAAGGCGAATCCAGCTTTACAAAGATGGGTAGGAACGAATTCACCCTCCTATATTAATTAATTCCTTGCTACAACCTACCGGAAGGCTATATATATGACAAATACGGTATTATTATTGCGGTAGAAGTTATAGACCTAATTGCGTTGATAGGAGATATACAACCCTTAATAGCCTAATCTAAACCATTAGGTAGTCTCACTAACGGTGCAGCGGCCATAAATCTGCCTACTAGTAATATCTCTTCTTTACTTAGTTCGGCCGAAAGTCCAGCCCTAAATAGGAGGTCCTCTTTGTCGTCGCTCTCCTCTCCAAGAACTACGCCACCCACTCACACCCTATTGTGGAGTACACCAGACGCGTGCGAATCTAAATCTCAAGAAAGTGGCACAGCTGCTATACCTGAACCTAATAATGTGTGGACTTTAAGTCGGCTTCACACGGCTCCTATATTATATAAGGAAGCTCTACTACTACAAGGAGTAAAGTTAAGCACGCAAACATCCACATCCAAACTAATTAAAAAACGCTAAGAAATCTTTTCTAGAGAGAACTATGCCTATGGCTGCGTTAATATAGTACCGTCTGGACTTATCTCTATTATAGAGCGTGATCAGCAGACTAGTACTTTAGATAATATCCAAATAGCTGTACAGTATGCATCCCAGCGGAGCCAGCTTTGTAAGTAACATCTTAGGTAGTACGCGTGCTGGGCCACAGTCGCCATATTGTGCCACCAGTCCCTTACTTAGAGTAATACTCAAACTGATACGCTGTCTCAAAAACGTCCAACATCCACAAAACGACGTCGGTTATCACTGCCTGCGCTGGGCCAGCCGTCCAGTTAGCTCGAGGTGAAGCTGCGGCCCCGAAGCGACTTGATTGCTAAGTCTATTCATAAAAGCCTTACTATAATGTACAATGAGCATCCAGTGCATAATTCGATAGGTGATGCTATCTTCGGGAGCAGGTACTATATTTAAGCCAGATCTAAGTACCATTATTCAGATTGTATTACCTAATCATTTAGTACCACCATGTCAAATGATACTTCATTTACAATAATGCCACGATGGAGCGTCTGCACGCACCGCCCGGACGCTACGTCCTAATGGCAAGATGTCCACTACTTTACCAATAGCCAAGATTGCCGTTAGAATTATGAATGTGCTCATCTGTTGTCACCGATCCAATCAGCCACGGTCGTCCACCTCAAGGGCTGAAAGGGTTGAAGGATACAAATTAAATACTCACCAAGATTCAGCTGCGTTTTACCCCAAGCCCCGCCCGCATTCGCACATTCCCCAGACAGTATCGGGTTGTTGAAGACCACGTTTCTGCAGGTTCTTTGGAAACCGGCTCTGATACAATATCTGGTTTATAATAATTCTTCTTGGAGATATGTGCGAGACTTACGAGTTCCAGACAAGTTGACCATTACTATTTCCTATGATGAAAGTGAGGAATATATTGGTTTCGTTCTCCCCTCCACCGCTATTTCGACAGGTGCATTTCATAAAGATGTTGCCACTAGGATTTTCAAAGGTCCCACAATTCCAGCATGACGCTGTGTAGCTTCGTTTCCCAATTTTGGAGTATGGGGCCGCGTTCGTAATGTCAACGGTGCCGTCCAGCTCAGGGACAGGACTAGCAGCAGTCAAGGCCGCAACAGAAGTGAGAATGAAGATGGCGAGCTTCATTTTGTTTACGAAGGATGTGGTGCTTAAGACAAACCAAAAAAACAGAGTGGGAGGGACAAGAGGGCGAAGGAGGTAGATGCTAGTTGGGTTGATTAATAAATCAAGACGAAGAGCAATAGGGCAGCTCCACAGGTCTTATTTGTTTTCCATTAAGCCGAATTACTCTATCAACACTCCTCACTTCATTCTCACTTCCATATTAAGGAAACTGCTTTAATTAAAGACCACACTGATTTGGTGGTCATACCGGATCCACGTAACGGGCAGACCTCTAAGTAATCGCGGGCAGACCTGCAACCAGATATGGTTAAGCTTACCTGCAGGCCAAGGCGCCATCTAATCGACCCTTGTTACCGCATAAAATACGCCTGAAATGGGGGATTGATAATGGCTGACTTGCGGTAATCTTGATCAACGCGTCAGCCAATTAGCTAAATCTATACTATAGGCAATAGTACAACACCAAATATCTGTTGATAGTAAATCAGCTTCTTGGCACTAGTCACCAGAGAGTGAATGTTCCTTTCTATATAGGAAAGCTTTGCGACGCGTACGCGTATGAGCGCGTAGGTGGCCTAAATACAAAGTCCGCCTGCGGGGTACCTTGTAGGTTCGGCTGCCCATAGTACTGCCCACCTTGGGTCGAGTTTTGATAATTGACTGGCAGCAGAGGCTGTAGATAAGGTACTGCTGGATAGTGAATTGCTGGCGGCGGAGGCTGTGGATAAGGTGCCGCTGGATAGTGAATTGCTGGCGGCTGTTGCCCGTAGAAGCTCTCCCGGACGTACAGCACTGGCGGAGGCCCTGGCGGAGGCACGTATATGGGTAACTGAGGCTGCGTAATCAGCTGCTGTACGCCAGAGAGCTGCGTTGATTGAGTGGGCTGCGTTGATCGAGGGCCCAGATCTACAAGCTGATCGTATGGCTGTTGCTGGTGACGTCTCTGCCTCTTGGCAGGCAGTACGAGGGTCTCCGGAGGTAGGTGCCAGCTAGCAGGCACCTGTGAGGGTGGCTCTGAGGGGTGGTTATCGTCAAGGCGCTCATTGAGCGTAGGCTCACGTTTTGTACTCCGCGTTTTACGCTTCGTACGGCGGACGATTGGCTCAAGGATACGCTCAGCCAGAGGCAGGTAGGGGTCTTGGGTGCGTACAGTCCACCAATGGACATCAAAATCAGCAGCTTGGAGGCTGATTGACTTACGCTCTTTCTCTAGTAGTACATGACTGCAAGGTAGTCCCATGATAGCCTGCCAGGTGCCTCTGCAATGCGGCATAACGTACGCCGGGTCGGCTGATTGTTTCAGGTAATCGCGTGCGATCGTGAGTTGTTTGTACGTGAGGGCAATCGTATGATCAGTTATCCGGCCATGGACAGCTGCAAATATGGGATCCGATGCTCGATAGGTGATTTTACTGGCAACAATATCATCTGCAAGCTGCCGATTATCAGCCCAATCGCTGTAGTAGGTGTTGAGGCGATCATAGAGGCGTAGTAAATCCAAATTACTGGTGCTCAGCCATTGTTTTATCCTGGCGTGGGCGCCCTCGACTTTGGACGTTGCCGTAAGCCCATAGTGGAGAAACTGATTAGTGTAGCAGCTGAGTAGGTGCTTGCCATGGTTATCCAGCCATACTCGACGCAGATAGCTCTCCATCCTAGGAGAGATCCTCTTGATACCCTGCAGTAGAAAGTCTACCTGCTCAATCGTCTCAGCGTTGAGCATCTAGTAATAACGTTGCATAAAGTCTTCAGTTTCTAGAGTATCAACCCACTTGGTGCCCTCACGATAGCGGCCAAGCTCTACCACACACATGGTGCGGGCGTATGCCTGCACTAATTTGTTCATATGCCACCTACATAGTAGATGTGGGATACCTGGGAAACTTGATGCCGCGGCGCTGATAGAGGCAAGGTCTCTATCCGTGATAATTACCTTTGGCCAGACTCTAAGTTGATCGAATAGCTTGTGCAGCCAGCTAAAAACGAGCCCATAGGCAGCCTCATCGCAGGTGGCCATAAGGCATACAGCGAGGTGCACCACCCGCCCAGATCCATTAGAACCTACAATATTAAGTAGTGGGAGGTTGTACTTATTTGTCTTAAAGGTGCAGTCAAAGAGGAGAGCATCTAGAGCCTTTTAAAAGGCCTTCTAGCAGCGTGGATGGGAGAACAGGAGGTAGGTGATATAATTGTTAGTGTTGACTTCGTACCTTGCGGGCCCTTATTAGATTTAGTGTTCCTCGCTTAGATCACGCTAGGGTCTAATTAGGCAAGATATATACCTAATTAGGTAACGTATATATTAGATTTATCAGATTTATAAAATCTGGAGAAATTGTCACGAGAGCAACGAGCAAGATATCTAAGGCCCAGGTAGGCTAGATTAATATACTGCATTCGGTATCTACGTGTAGGTACAAGACGTTGGATAAGGAGAAAAGGTCCTCTCCCCTATCTAGCGTAGATCTATCTTCTCGCTTCGTCGCACGCCCTCACTAAGGGTGGCTAGCGCCATGCTTTAACTAATTAGCTAGTAGACGGGCCACCCATCTAATAATCTATTAACTAGCTGCCAGCGCGCGATATCTCTAAGATATACTACTACCAGCAGTATATCCATGCTTGTTAGGTAGCCTCTAAGGTTACTATGACATTAGGTCCCTCCCTCTCTTACAGTCCAAGCTTGCGAGGATCTGTGTAGGTGTCTAGTTTAATGTTATTTTAGATGGCTATCTAATCTGCCTATTTAGGTCCTCTCTATTAGGGTACTTCTAATGGTACTCCTCTGCAGTAGCGGTGTTAGCAAAGTCGATTACTGGCTCCTAGGTTAGGTCATTATATCTAGTCCACTTGACCTAGTATTCGTGTCGTTTCTGGCGTTGATTGAAATGGAGGTCAACTATCCTCTTAATATAATACTCTGGTTCTGCGTTAACTATTACTAGTTTGGGTGGCTCTACCTACTATCCTAGTAGATAGGCGTTGTCTGGCTCCGCTGGCTAGAGTAGATTCACATGGAATATAGGGTGTATCCTCATTAATTTAGGCAGCTCTAGTTTATAGGTATGTAAGGAGACTACTGCGCTAATCTTATATAGGCCTATATTCTTCTAGTTAAGCTTCTTAGAGCGTCGTTATGTCCTTAGGTTTTGTGTGTCTAGCCAGACACGATCGCCTATCTAATAGATAGGCGCTGGTTATTATGTATAATTTATATACTCCTAGTGCAAGGCTTACGTCCAGGTTAGTTCCTTGCGAATAAGATCTACTATATCTTTCATCTTATCTACTATGCGATTGGTAGCAGCTGCGTCGAGTCTCTGTCTATAGGGCCTAGACACTATAGTGGGCGGCTCGAACCCCATATAGGGATTCTGGCCGTAGTAGATTAGGAAGGGCGACGCCTATGTGGACTCTAACACTATATTATTGGCTTCAAACTATACCATAGGTAGCCAATCCACCCAATCATCCTGCGCATAGCTTATATACGCACGTAATACCTACTTTATTACTATATTTGCGTTTTCTATTTATCTATTAGTCTCTGGGTGATACGCTAAGGATAATAGTGCTATAATCTTTAATTGGCTGTAGAGCTCTATCCAGAATGCTAAGACGAACTAGCTACCTCTATTAGAGACTATTGTAGTGGGTAGTCCTTGGTTGGCCCATATGTATTATAGGAAAAGCCGTGCTATCTCTAGCGTAGTGATCTCCTTATAAGGAATTAGGTATCTATACTTGCTTAACTAGTTAACTACTACTATAATGTTCGTGTATCCCTTAGACTCTAGTAGGTCTATCATAAAGTCTATAGAGATGTGTTGCCAACGTCGTTCTATAATAGGTAGAGGCTTTAATAGACTATAGTACTTATCTCTAGACGACTTTACCTTGTAGTAGGTATGGTAGTAGGCTATATATTGCTTAACCGTCTTAAACATCTTAGGCTAATAGTATTCCTGCTATAGGATCTCCAGCATCTTACCTCTACCTGGGTGGCCGCCTATAGGTGAGTCATGGACGTGGCGTAGAAGCTTAATCTTAAGTTTATTATAATTAGGTATTATTATATAATCGCGATAGTATACGTAATTATTTCTAATCTTATATTCGCTAAGTGTTACTCTCTTTAACTTGTAGGCTCCACTTTATAGGAGCTATAGCGTCTTGGTAATTAGCTTGTCATTTAGGTATTCATTATCTATAATCTATGCAATCGTCCTATCCGTGATTAATAGCCGCAGATCTATGGTAGGCTTAAATAGCTTGGGGCGCAATAGCGTCTAATTATGAGCTACCTATGCTCCTTCCTATACTAAAACGTCCTATAATTATCTTGTAAGCGCGTCTGGCTTCTTGCCTTACTTACTAGGGTAATAGGTAATTATAAATTGAAATTACGATAAGTACTCTAACCAGCGAGCTTATCTATAGCTTAGCTGCTTGGTCATTATAAAGTACTGTAGGTTCTTATAATCGCTAAGTACCTTAATGGGAAAGGTAGCACCTTCTAGTTTAGGCCTCCATTATTCGAAATAGCACACGATCGCTAGCAGCTCCTTATTATATATCTCGTAGTTGCCTTTAGTGGGGTTCATTCTCCTAGAGTAGTAGGCGACTGGTCGTAGCTCTCTATCCTTATCTTTCTAGGATAGTACTCTAGCTGTTACGTAGTTAGAGGCGTTAGCCTCTACCATAATGGGTAGCTCTAGGTTAAAGTGGCGGAGCATAGGAGCGCTTATAAAGGTAGCCTTTAGCTAATTAAATATATCTTGGTAGGCGTTACTAAAGTAGAATACTTAATCCTTCTTTATAAGGTTTACTAGTGGTGAAGCTAATCTTAAGAAATCTAGTATAAATTAATGATAAAAGTTTATA